TACCTGAGGGATAATTTTGGAGCAAAGTCTTATCTCACATTCAGGTGTTTTGCTGACAACTCCCAAATCGGTATCTTCTGACCAGTGCTTTCCCACTTATATCCAACAACTAGACAACTCCACCTGGATGCCAATCACTCAGTCAGTTGATGCATTATTTCTGAGTACCTACTATATGTCAAGCACTGTTTCAGGTGCTGGTGGATAAAGGGGTGAACACGACAGAGGCCCTGTTCTCAAGGAGCTCATCCAAGTGAGATGACACAGAGAATAAACATGTGAACACATAAGAAAATTTCATATACTAGTAAATGCCATGAAGAAGATAAAATGGGGTCATGTAGTGGAGGGGGACCATGTGTGGAGTGTGTGTGTTTCATTGGGGGAGGGGGTGGGGAGCAGGTCAGAAAGAAGATCCATCTGGAGGAGAGGATGTCTGATATGAGGTGGGAATGCCAAACAGACAGTCTCGTGAAGCTCTGGGGCAGAGCGTTTTCAGCAGAAGCCAGGGCGAAGACTCGGAGATGAGGGAAGGCCACTGTGGGTGGGGCATGTGACAAGGCTTGAGCTTAGGGAGATGAGCTTGGAGAGGTAGCCAGGGCCCCACCAAGTAGGGTCTTGCAGTCCACGGCAAAGAGTTTGTTTATTTTCGTTTTTACAGCCATAGTGAGAAGCCACTTGGAGGGTTTTAAGCAAGGGAGTGACTTGGCCTGACTTACATGATAGAAAGATCGCTCCACATGGAGGAGGAATTGCAGAGGAGCAAGAGCAGGGACAGGGAGCTAGTAGCTGCTTGTGTCCAGTGCTCGGTGAGGTGGCTTGGCCTGGGCACTTGGAGGTGGTGGGAAGGAAATAGGTTTTGAACATATTCTGAAATTATATCCAATGGGACTCACTAATAGTGTGGATGTGATTATGAAGAAAGAGACACCTAGGTTTTTGAATTGTACAGTTGGGTGGATAGGAATGTCATCTTCCAAGATGAGGAAGACCAGAAGAGAACATAAATCTGCTTTTTAAAAAATTTTTAAATTTTTATTGACGTGTAGTTGATTTACAATGTTAGTTTCATGTGTACAGCAAAGTGATTCAGTTATACATATATACATACATATATATATTCTCTTTTCAGATTCTTTTCCATTACTGCTCATTATAAGAAATTGGATGTATTTCCCTGTGCTATACAGTAGGTCCTTGTTGTTTATCTGTTTTATGTATAATAATGTGTATCTATTAATCCCAAACTCCTAATCTATCCTTTACCCTCACCCCTTTCCCGCTGGTAACCACTGTTTGTTTTCTATGTGAGTCTAATAAATCTGTTCTTTGTTGGGGGGGTTAGGAGTTCTATTTTGGATGACCAATAGGAAGTTGGATGCGTGACTCTAACCCTCATGGGAGTGGTTAGGTCTGAACATAAAAATGTGAGAGTCATCAGTTTATAGATGATTTTATAGATGGTTCTGATCACAGAGGGGAAATGTATATAGAGGAGAAAAGAGGGTGGAGAACTGGGCCCTGGGGCATCCTGCACTTAGAGATCAGCAAGAGGAAGAAGAATCAATGGAGACCCAAAAAGACTCATCAGTGAGAGAGGAGGAAGCCAGGAAAGGGTACTGCCTGGAAGCCAAGGGAAGATGGTGTTTAAGGAGGGAGCTCTCAATGGCCAGATGTTGCTGAGGGAGTAAGATGAGGATGAAGGACTGACCATTGGATTTGGGAATTTGTTGGCCATTCATGACCTTGACAAGGGGCAGCCCTGACTGGAGTGGTTAAAGTGTGACGAAGTGGAGATACCAAGTGTAGACAATTTTCAGAGGATTTTGATTTTTTTGTAAACAGGATAATAGCTGGAGAAGGATGTGGTATCAAGAGGGAATTTAGAAAAAGAGAGAGAGGGGAACATTATTGGATGTTTACAGAAAGGGAATTGCAACAACAGTGGAACATAGTCTAGAGTAGGTGAGAGGTGATGGGGTCCAGTGCCCTAGTACAGGGAGCAGGAACACGCTTCATCCACATTGCAGGGGAGAAGGCAGAGTGAAGGGGCACTCATGCCAGGAGGTCTGCAGACTTGGTGGTGGGGGGTAAGTTAGCGTTTGCCTGCTGCTTCTATGCACAGTGGCATACGATGCCCGGCTATCAGCTAGAATGGGGATTAGGAAAACGGGGACTGGAGGTTTGGGGAAAGAGGAGAAGGCATGATATTGTCCTCTTAGAGAAGAGGGTTAAAGTTTTAGGAAAATGTAGAATTTCTTAGAGATGCAGAGTGCCCACTTGAGCTTTGTGGCCAGAAGTGTCAAGTGAAACCAGCCAGGCCAGCTCTATTATTCCCCAGGTGTTCTGGAACAGGTGCCATATGGAGAGCTGGGTTTAATTGGAGGTAGGATCCTGCCTGGTGGGTGCCTAGAGAAGCACAGAAAGGCAAGGGAATGGAAGGTAACTAGGAGTCGGCGATGATCTGGTGGCCCCTGGAGTCTAAGCTGGGGAAGGAGGGGAGGGAGGATGTGAAGAGGGTGACAGACATTGACATAGTGGTGGGTCAATAGAAGGGGCAGAAGGATTGCTGGAGTGAGAATGAGAGACAGTGAGCTACACAGATAGGCGCTGGTGCAGCTCTTGGTACAGACGAGGTCTAGGGTGTGAGCACGCAGCGGGGTGGAGGAAAAGACTGTTGGACACGAGGAAATCCAGAAACGGAGAGGTCAAGGTGTTCGGTGTAAAGCTACCAAGAATGGTAATAAGCATCTTGGCAGTGAGACAGGCAGCGAGCCAGAGGCTGAGAGGGCATGCGAATGCAGTGGGATAACCAGGGCTTCTTATCTGTGTCTCCAAGTCAGCATGTCTGAAACTGAAGTTATCAGTGCTTCCCTCAAACCTGCTCCTCCACTCAGTAAACGGCCCCGCCACCCAGAAACCTGTGTGTCTCTGATACCTCTCACTGCTTGATCCCCACACCCAACCGAATCACCCCATCATTTTGACTCTGTCTTGTAAGCATTTCTGAAATCTAGGTACTTCTTTCTATCTCCACCGTGTACGCCCTACTTTAGGCCACTATTGTTTCTTACTTGGCCTGTTGCCTCAGGCTCTAAACAGCCCTGCCTCGGCCCCCTCCCCACATTGTGACCAGACACTGTAAATTAGATCATGTCACTTCTGGTCAAAGCCTCTCCAGTGGCTTTTCATTGTCCTTAGGGTAAAGTTCAGAACCATTAACAGAGTTCTCGAGGAAGCACTGCACCACCCAGCCCCTGCCTGCTTCGGCCTGGCTTCCACCCTCCTGGGTCCCTTCCAGTCCTTGCATTAGGTTTGGTCTCCCTCTCAGGCCTTTCATGTGCTCCTTCCTCTGCCTGGAATCCCCTCCCCTCTTTCTCTAGGTGTCAGCTTCCGAAGTCCCAGGGAATCTTTCCCTGGGTGCCTGCGTGTTAGCTCCCCCGCGCCTGCCAGCAGTAACCCCCGCCTCCCCAGCACCCCATGAGTTCAGTAGCTGTCCATTCATAGCATGTGGCTCCATGCATGAGGTCAGGGACTGTGCCTGATTCTTCCCAGACGAATCCGCAGCACCTGGCACGGGGCTTGTCATCTAAAAGTGAACCATTTGTTAATGTGAATTGAATGGAAGATTCTAGAGGTGGAGCAGTTCTGGGTGAAGACAAGGTCCAGGGTGTGGTCCTGTGAGTGGGTAGCTAAATGGAGGAGGAGGCCACAGGAGACGAGGATGGCAGGGAATAAAGAGGACAGAGTGACACACAGGTGGTCCCTGAGGCTCTGGGCCATGAGAGACCAGAAAGACCGAGAGTCATGTGCTCAAGTCTTTAATGAATGGGGAGAAGCAGGTGGAGCAGTGGGGGTGGGCAGAGGGCAGAAGAGAAAGATGCAGGCACCTCAGCTAAGGGAATAGTTTTCAAGAAGGTGGTGGTGGAAGGTCAGAGGGTGGTGGTCTCAGGCTGGTCAGATGTGCTTTTGGCCTCTAGCTGGCTCAGTGGCTCAGGACTGGAGACCTCTTGGACCACAACCCATGGAGAGGGCGTGGGAGTAGTCAAGGTCTGGGATGCTCTGGCCATTTGTTGGACCCAGCAGCAGCTCCTGGACTGGGGAATCTGGAATCTCAGAGGGAGTTGACTAGGGCTGGTCTGCTGGCCTGCGTATGGGGGCTACCTCGGTTTGAGCAATGCGGGGCCATCTGGTTCAGAACTGGTTGAGAGGACCATCCTCTGGTCTGGATTGGCGGTGGGGGCTGCCTTGTTTCCTGGAGAGTTCAGTGGATGGTTTTGGTGCCCTGCCTGTACCTCCTTTTCTGGGGGACACACACACACTCATGGCTTATAGCTGCCCCTGGAGAATTGACCCTGACTGAGTGGGAGCCGCCTACCCCTCCTACCAGCCCTTCTGCCCTTGGGGTGGCCTGAAACCAATGACTGACTGCTACAGGAGTTCCAAAGCCTGATGCCCTTTCCTCCAAGGGGGACCGCTCTGTGGTGGGATTTATGATTCAGAGGCTGCTTACCCCACCCGTGGGGATCAGGCCATGGCCGAGTTTCCCTGAACTCATTCGCTGCTCAGCTCGGCCCTCTCCCCACCCTGTTTCCCTTGTTCCTTCCTTCACAGGCACACAAATTCCTGCCACTGGCTCTGCTCAGGGGAACCCTGGCCTAAGAAGGGGTGAGTCTCTGGTCTTGTCCCATAATCAGGGGTGGGCATGGAGGCTCTCCTTGAACCATGGGGCACACAGCCTCAGCACATTCAACTCCTCCCTGTGGGTTGGGAAGTTCCCCTCCCTTCTCTAGGCCAAAGTTTCCTCACCCATAAAAGAAACCTTTAGTCTGGACTTAGTGAAAACAACATCAAAACACACAAACAAGAAATCACTACGCTCAGCTCCTGGGCTAGGTGTGGTGGAAGACGCTGAACTCCTGGGCTAGGTGTGGTGGAGGATTCAGATTCAGATCAACCAGACACAGTCCCTCCTGTCAAGCAGCTCAGAGTCCGTTTAGTCATTTCACAAACATTTATTGAAGGCAACTGAGGGCCTGGATGACTCAGCGTCCTGTGCGTGAAGGGCTCATGGACTGGTGGGGAGAACAGACCACTCCAATCTGGGAAGAAGGGCAGAGGCACAGGCGAGGCTGGCGCAGGGAGAAGGCAGTTAAGGCTGTCCCTGGGGTTCGAGGAAGGGTCCCAAAGGAGGGAGGGAGGGCACTTCGGGCAGAGAGAACAGCATGTCTGAAGGCTGGAGGCAGGACCTGGTGTGATGTGTCTGGTTGGGGAACCACAAGCCCTTTGGTATTATTGGTGGTACAAGGAGGGAGGAGGCAGGGGGTGCGGCTGGGAACGTCAGCGGGGTTGGATGGACGGCAATGGTGATGACAGTGGCGGTGAGGGGATTTTCAAAGCAGGAGGAATGACATGATCAGATTTGTATCTAGAAAAAACACTGTCCCTGTAGTGGAGGGCAGATGGGAGAGGCCCAGTGGGAGGGTGTGGGGTGGGAGAGGAGGGGCAGACTCAGAAAACATTTAGGGGTTGAAAATAGTGGGATTTGGTGCTGCAGTGGGATGTAAGGCATGAGGGGCTAGGAGCTGGGGAGGGGACGAGGCTGTCAGGCCAGCTCCTGGCTTGGATGCCTGAGTGGATGGTAGTGTTATTCATGGGGTGGGGAGTGGTGATCTTTGGGGAGGGCAGGTTTGAGGAAAGATGACATGGTCAGTTTGGGGGTTGCAGAGTGGGAGATGTCTGGGGGTCTCCCAGAAAGCTGTCCCATGAGCTGTTGGTATGGGGCTCTGGGACCAGAGGCAGGTCCAGGCTGGAGCTGTGGGTTTGGAAGTTGTCAAGTGAGTGGTGAGGGAGGATGAGAGGAGGTAAGCAGGAGGTAAGTTGCTCAAACTTGAGGATCTATGGGGGACCGTTTAGCTTGGATGCTCTCAGTGGGTTCCTGGCCTGTGGGGATGTGCCTCCTAGACACGCTGGCAGACTCCGCATCCAAGACTTGCTCTTGGCACCATCTCACCCTCCTAGGGGACTCACCTCTGGGGACCTGTGCTGGGCAGGGTTAGGGGGGCCGGAATGTGGAGCCACATGCACTCATCTGAGGGACACTCGCTGAGAACCAACTCATGCTAGGCACAGGGGCTCCGAGGGTACCTTCCCTCCTGCCTTTGTTGTAGAGTCCAGAGACCCCTGGAGCAGCCTCTGGGCTTCCCAGCACATCCTGGGGGCACATTCTGTGGGTGGTGTGTGTGGGGTGAGTGTGTGTGTGTGATGGGTAAACCTGTACCTGAGGTTCCAGGGTTCAAATGCCCACTGAGTCTTGACCTCCTCTCCAAAGTCCATCATGAATCTCCCTGCTTTCCTACCCATCACTCCTCCCCTGGTCTGCAAAGTACAAAGAAAATCATATTTATTAAGGGTTTTGACACACCCTAATGCCACATACAAAATCCCTGCCAGCCATCAATCTCCCCTTCCCAGGGCTCAGGACCCAGAGACTGAACTGCCTCCCAGCATTGGCCCCTGGGTGGGCTTCCTGAGCTCCACACCCACCTTCCTCACCTGCCCTGCTGCAGAAACGATGCCACTGCCCTGCTGTGGTCTTAGGGAGCAGGCCCAGGCTCTGGTGGTCTCAGCCGCCGACCTCACCAGTTACGGGTACCCACCTGCATCTATCATGGTGGACCTGACCTTCATGAGGACAGAGTTCCCATCCTGGGGGTGCTCTCCCTGGGAAAGGGCATATGGTGGGCACGTATCAGGCAGGTGAGCCCGGCACCGGGACTGCCGGCGCCTGGGGCCGAGGGTCTTCAGGCACCTCTTGCCCACCAGGTAGGTGACCTCACTGAGGTTGAGCAGGATGCAGATAACAGCTGTGGCCACCATGAAGTAGGTGAAGACCTTCTTCTCTGTGGGTCGGGAGATGTAGCAGTCCACGGTGTGGGGGCATGGCGCCTCGGAGCAGGCCACCACGCGGGGCATGTCATAGTCCTGGTAGAGGCGGTGGAAGATGTAGAGGAAGGCGGAGTCGACGGCAGCCTTGAAGATGAGGCTCAGCAGGTACGTCCACCAGAGCCCGCCCCGCTTCTTGTTGGGGTTGTCGTACAGGGACGGGGCGTCGGGCCCGTGTTTCCGGCGGTGCTTCCGCTCGCGCTCATGGCGGTAGGCCACGTGCATGACCACGAGCAACGAGGGGCACGTGACCAGGATGAGCTGCAGGGCCCAGAGGCGCACGTGGGACACGGGGAAGAACTCGTCGTAGCAGACGTTGGGGCAGCCTGGCTGCTTGGTGTTGCAGACAAAGTCCTTCTGCTCGTCGTCCCACACCTCCTCGGCCGCCACCACGTACACCAGCACGCGGAAGATGAAGACCACAGACAGCCAGATGCGACCCAGTGCCGTGGAGTACTTGTTGACCCCGCTCAGGATGCCCTGCAGGAACGCCCAGTTCATGCTGATTGTGGCCTTGGCTCTCCTGTGCGCACCTGTGCGGGTCCTGGGGGCCACGAGGCCTCAGGGAACCTGGAAATGGGTGCCCTTAATTAAAGGTGTGATAGGCAAAGCCATTTCACAACCACTGTCATCATGTCCTCACTTGCAATGACTCAGTGGGATAGGGACTACCATCCTCCCTGATTCACAGGGGAGTAAGCTAAGGCCCAGACAGGCACCCGCCCACGGCCCACGAGCTGGACTTGAACTTCCATCTTCTAGTTCCACAATCTGGGCATATTTTATTCTACAAGGTAATAGATAAACGTGAAGGATAATCATCCTGCATGGGTGTGCGGCTGATCTCATCGACCCCAACTTTCAGCCCTGCGGGTCACACAGCATCTAAAGAAACAGTAACAAAGTGTGGGTTGGATCCAGGGACGGACCACGCAGGAGGTGGGGATGTGTATCTTTTTCCCTCAACTTCCTCCAACTTTTATTGAGCCAGGCCCTGTGCCTTGTGGAGTATTATGCACCCTCATTCTTCTCTCTGGCTCCAGGATGTCCCCCACCCTGACGTTCCCTTCCAAATGAAACAGGCTCTTTGGAACGATGGTGGCTTGGTATCATCCTGCCACCTCCTGCGTTGGTGCCAGGCCTGAGGGCTGCCTGTCCTGACCACAGTCGGTTCCTCTGGAATTCCAACCATTCCAGCCTTAAGGAGGGACTTGGGAATGGACAGAGGCAAGATTCTGGCACAGTCCTCCCCCCACCATTTACCTTTTCTTTCCGGGACCCCCCAACCCCCTTATGTCTTTGCTCAGTGGCTGTTCGCTGCCCACATCAGCTCTCGTTTCATTCAGGACGTGTCCTGCCTGCGCCATCCTCCACACCCCTTATCTGGAGTGCCATCTTGTTCCATCTGTGGCCCCGGCCCCTCCCCTGTCCCTGACTCAGATCTCAGCATCCTCAGACCTTGTGCCTCTGGGACATTTTCTGAGCACCCTCCTCCATCTTTCCTGGCAGAGTGCCTCACTGGTACACAAATGGTCTGTTTACCAGTTTTCGGTACCAGGCTGTCAGCTTCTGGAGGGCAGCCTCTACACCTCACTCGTCTCTGATTCCCCAGGACTCAGCACCAAGCCTGGCCCCGGGAACACGCAGTAGATGTTTGCCGAACCTGCTGGAAACGCCACTTCTTCCTGACCCTTCCTCTTTCTTATCTCCTCTCTAGACTTCTGTCCTTCCTTTGGTCTGGCAGGACATCCCTTCCCCTCCTTGGGGCTTCCCTGGGTTTCCCCAGAGATCCTGTGTCCCCTCTGCTCCTCCCTGAAGCCGGGCCCACAGCCTGAGGTCCCCTGGGGGTCCTCAGCCCATCTGATCCCTGCCTCCCAGCCCAGTCTCCTGCCCGACGTGGCCCTCACCTTTCTTGAGTCTAGCAGCCACTCTCCTGTCTGTGGGCTGGTCTGTCTGCCCGTCTGCCCCAGGGCCTCCTGTAGGCAGCTTTTGTTCCTTACTCCCCTGCTGGGTGGGGCTTGCTGAGCCAATGAGCCAAGCAAGAGTGCCCGGGTGGGCAGGCAGGCTGGTGGGCGGACTTCCCGGGCACGCGTTCAGGGTAAACACCTGTGGCTCTTCTCCCCTGGCCCACGCCTTCTCTGCAGTTTGGTCAGGCATGGCTGGGTCTGGCTCCCTGCGCTGGAAGATATATGGGTGAAACTGCCGTGAACGGGGGCAGGGAGCCTGGTATCCTGGTGCTCGGGCCCAGGTCGGCACCAAATGGCATTGTCCCCTCTTTGATTGCCTTAATACCCCGACCCTGTCCCCCTTTCCCCAGGCCTCTCTCCTGCCCTTTTCCTCTGGAAGCCTGGTTCTGAGGCCCTTAGCGGCTGACATCTCTGGAAAGGGGCAATCTCAGTTTAGACCAGGATTGCATCCCACCCTGGCAGGGACATTTCTGGGGCCTAGAGCTTGGGCTGCTGGTGAGTTGCATAGGGGATGGGAGGGGCCGGCTGTGGTTCCTCTGAACAAGGGCACCGCTGCTCTGGTGGAGAGCAGGAATGCAGGGCACAGCATGAAATTCTCCAGCTGGCGAAGGGCCAGGCGCAGCTTCCCTGTCCATCCCCTCTGGGCCTGGGTCTCTGTGGAGGTCGGAGTGTGACCCAGTGGGGGCTGCAGAGAGGCCTTGGGCCTGCGTCCTGGTGGCTGGGACAGTGAAGGTTAATGCACAGCCAGGGAGGGGCTCCTCTGCCTCATTTCCCACAAGCATTTATAGAGCACTTCCTAATACCAGTGATTAACACTTATGTGGCCCTTTACAGCTGGCTAACCCCATCCAGCCGTGAGCTCATCCAGCCTCACAACCACCCCACAGGCTTGGTTATTAACCCATTTTGGAGGGAAGCTGGTCACTTTCCCAGATCCCAGTGGAACTTGGGTTCAAGTGCAAGTGTTATGACTCAAAAGTCCATTAACTTTCCACTGTGACATGCGGCTCCCCACATACCAAGCTCCATTCTCTTTGCAGACCACCCACGGGCTTAAAATTGCAACTGGGGATAAAGGCTAGACTTGAGCATGAAAAGCAGCATGGTCCCCCCACCCTCACCCCGCAGGAGTGCTGGGGGACCCTCTCCTGGGGGAGGGAATGGGCTCTCATGTGGCTGGATCAAGTTCAGCTCTTTGCAGGGCAGAGATGTTGGCCCAATGACCTGATAAGGATAGAAAAGGGCGAAGGATCGAAGGGCACGTTGAATCAGTGAACGCGCTGACTTTTATTAAGCCCTGACTGTGGGCCCCACACACCAAAGGCATGTTATTATCTCTTATTAAACCCCTCTTCACCACGACAACCCAGGGAGGTGGGCCTCCTCATCTCTGTTTCACACAAAAGGAAACTGAGGTTCAGCTCTGAGGGGTACCTTGTCCAAGCACCCAGCTGGGCTGTGGCAGGAGCTGGGGAATAGGGATTTGACCCCAGGGCATCTGTCCCTCCCTCTTGCCTGCCCCCCACCCCTCACAGCTTAGCACCCCCACCCCCAAGGCTGCACCTCTGAGAGGTGCCGGGTCCTTCCAACCCAGACGGGACCAGGCAGTTCCTCACACATTGGTTTTCTTCACGTTGTCTTGAGGGTGGTCCGGTAAGAGAGGAGGGGGAGTGTCGGAGCCCAGAAAGATGAGGTCTCCAGAGAGGAGGTCGTCTGGTTTGCAGGAAGAGGCAGCCCAGTCCCGGTGGCGGCCCACGTCCCTGGCCCGGGCTCTCCTGGCCACCAGGCACTCATGGCACCTCTTGCTCACCAGGTAGGCCAGCTCCACCAGGTTGAGCAGGATGCAGATGGCAGCCGTGATCACCATGAAGAGAGTGAAGATGTTTTTCTCCGTGGGCTTGGAGATGAAGCAGTCCACCGTGTTGGGACACGGAGCCGCATGGCACTTGACCACCCGAGGGAGGGTGTATTTGGGGTAGAACAAATGGAACACGTAGAGGAAGGTGGCATCCACACCAGCCTTGAACACCAAGCTGAAGACGTACGTCCACCAGAGCCCACCCCTCTTCTTTCCGGGGTTTAGGTAGAGGCGCCCACCATCCTTCCCCACCGCCTCTTGGTGCTTCTTCTCCCGAGCCTCGCGGTAGGCCACGTGCATGACCACGAGCAGTGAGGGGCACGTGACCAGGATGAGCTGCAGGGCCCAGAGGCGCACGTGGGTCACGGGGAAGAACTCGTCGAAGCAGACATTGGAGCAGCCTGGCTGGCGGGTGTCACAGTTGAAGTCTTTGTGGTCGTCGCTCCACACGCGCTCAGCCGTCACCAGGTACACCAGCACACGGAAGATGAAGACCAGGGACAGCCAGACGCGCCCGAAGGCGGTGGCATACTTGTTGACTCCGCTCAGGAGCCCCTCGAAGATCCCCCAGTTCATGGTGGCCCCAGGCGTCGGCTGCTACTGCGGGGAGATGATAATGCTAATTTCCCACATTTATGGAACGCTCACTCTCAGCGCTTTATAGGACTATGTCATTGTGTTTGAGACTCACAGCCACGGTGGAGTTAGGCTCTATCATTGTCCCCCTTGTACAGATGAAGGAAACTGAGGCTGAGAGGGGTCAGACGGGGTTACACTACTATTAGCTACAGAGCTGAGACTGGAGCATAGGTAATTAAGCCTAGTACTCAACTCTTACCCGTAAAAGTGGGTGAAGGCGGGTCCAGGGAGCCACCTGCTCCTCCCAGGGCCTCAGCTCCAGTCTTGTGGTCCCACACAGTGAAGGCTTAAGGAGGTGGGACATCCTGCCTTCATCCCTCTGTTCCAACCCCAGCCCTCTCCTCTGGGGGCCGAGCCCAAGGATGACTTCTTTCCTTTCTGAGCACTGCTGTCTCCCCTCAGACAGCCTCCTTCCAAGGGGAATCTGCTCTTTGACTTGGCTTGGGGGCTTGGGTTAGAGAGGAGGCTGGAACCTTGTCCCAAAACTCCCATCTGGTCTAACACTCCATAAATATCCAGGCAGTGTCCTGCTCAGGTGCCCCTCACTTGAAGCAAGGTCAGTGGCAATCCAACTGAAATAGAGGGTAGGGCACAATGATTCTCTTTATCCTGCAGGCTTCCTGGAGTTGCCTGGTGTTCCCGTGTTTCCCAAACTGCTGTTCCCTGGAGCCCTGCTCAGTAGGCTGGTCACAGAAACAGTAAGAGAAAAGGATTCTGTGTTCAAAATGGTAGGCAAGCACTGTGTTCAGCAAAGTTAAACAGGTCCCTTTACTTGACCATACTAGTAAGTTCACATTATGAATCTCCAAAAAGGGGTCAGAATATGTAGCATCTGCACAAACTCCTTCGACCACAGACCCTCCCTTTTTTGGCCGTCTTGAGGAACAGACACCAAAGTGGGAACTGCTGCTCTGGTTAGTTCTGCCGTTCAGTTTGGCCTGATGAACATACAAGAATCAGATTTACCTCCAATTAGAGAACGTGACTACTGTTCAGAGTGAAAGATGCCTCAGTTCCTCACTTGGAATTCCTCTGCCTGGTGGAGAGACCCACAAATTGTGGCCTCACCTTACCGGCTCCCCCTGCCCACCTGACCCCGGAGACCTCAGGGAGTCGGTGTACACAGCCTTCCTTTTTTTTTAAACTTAGAAATAATAGTCAGTTAC